CGCAGAGCAACACCCTGACATGAGCTCATTATTCATGGCACTGGGAGTGAGAGGGAGAGTGTGGGAGAAGGGGAGGAGAAGGGGGTGGAAAGGAGGGGGGAAATTAGGAAAAGGCTGCTGCTGCTGCTCGGAGCAGGAAGGGGTTGTATTTAAAGGCGCACCAAGGAAATGCGTACAATCTGAGAAAGGGGAAGGGGGGGGGTGTAGGATAGGCGGTGGAAAAAGTAGGGGGTGGTGCGGGAGGTGGAGGCGGGTGAATGGCGCGGTGGGCGCTACCGACGCCTCCGCCTGAAGTGTTTTCAAAAGCAGTATACAGGGAGGGGCCGGACCGCCGCGCCGGAGGACAAGTTTTTAATGGATCGGGGGACGGTGGGTGGTGGTGGTGGTCGTGAGGGGTTAAGGAGGGAGGAGCGCCCGTCAGGGGGGCAAAGTAGGCGGCGGGCTTCGGTGTGGTCGTAACCTGCAGTGAGCCGTGAGCCTACTACAACTTGCAACGTCTTCTTCACTCACTAAAAAGAAAATTCACGACAATGTCATGCGGTGGGAAATGTGACTGCATTTTGGAGAATTCATAAAACGAATTTTTGTAAACATTTTTGGTGCGTAAGCTGAAATAAATTTCAGCAAATTTTTATTGAAATTTATTTTTTGGCGTTTGTCGTTTTGTCTTCCTCGGATTCCATTTTCATTTTCGCTTTCAATTTTACTGAATGTTCCGAGCAGGGTACTTACATAGCACGGTGAGGGTGGCGTTGGCCCTGATGGCGGCCGTCCTGCCCTTGGGCGACACTTGGCACTGGAACTCGGCGTCGTCCTCCAGGGAGGCGTTGGAGATGCGCAGGTTGAACACTCCCCGCGACTGGTCGCCGTGCATTGCGTACCGGGGGAAACCCGGGATCACCGAAGTATACCCTGCGACAAACAGAGAGTGACAAATGAAACCTTTATACTGCGTTGTTCATTTACACGGCGTTGTCAGCGTTGGGCCGCCAACCTGTTGACAATCAGGACAATCAGGAGTACGTGACACTGTGCATTTCTATCCGCACACAAACCAAAGACTATGAAATGTCGAATCAGATCGGGCGTATTGTGCCGAGAGCTGCACTGCGTCTGCATTGGTTGGGCCTATCATGAGACACACACACACACACACTGGAAAAACAAGAGTGAGGGGGGCTTTAAAAAATCTAGGTTGGATGTAAGTAAAGCACCTTATAAACAGCTGTGAAAGGTGCTAAAAGTTCGTGCATTTGTAAAGGTATAATCAACCCTTGGCAGCCGAGTTGGCAGCTCATTTATGTGGAACTTAAAAACTTGTCTTTCCCAGTGCATTTGTCGATTTTTTTCCAATGCATTTGTCGTAACTTGAAAAGCAGAGGTGAAAACGCAGTAACTTTTTAAGGGGTGATAGGGAATTTATGGGCGTGCTACCGCTTCCTGCCACCGAAAGTGCACCAAAGTGCGCCAAAGGTTCTCGATTTAGAACATCTGTTTTTCAAGTGCGTCCACGTGAGCGACAAACCGACATGCGCAGGTTTTCTTCTCGCGCGGAGTTATTCGATCACTGCCCATCGGGAGTTATGATTGCAATCCCCTGTGGAGGGTGGAGAGGGGGAAGAGCCCCCCCCCCCCTCCTTTCTGGTAGCCGCCCCGTTTGTAATGCTATTGAGCGTCAACAAAAGGAGCTCCACGGACAACATTAGCTGCGCGGCGGCCTCACAGTGCCAAGCAAACCCCGGCGCCAAGAACACCCCGCCCACCACCACACCCCCGCGCTCCGCCCCACCCCGCCCACCTCACCCGCGACCGCGCCGTCTTTGTGCGACGCGGGCCTACTCCTCGCCCTCCCGCGGCCCGGGATGAATGCTGCGGACAAAAAGACAGATCCACCACACTGATAGTAGCGCCAGCAGCACCCCCTCCCCGCCACCTCTTGCACACAGGACTTTTTCTTCATTTACTCCTCCCCTAAAGTCAGGAGCCACCACCCCTTTTTTTCCTTCGGAACGAGTCGTTCTAAGCACGCCGCGGTGCTGCGGGGTTAAGACGGGGGAGAAGCATTATACGGTAAGTAGGAATTCACCTGTCACCCGCAAAAAGGAGCAGCAGCAGACAAAAGCCAAACATTTATCCTTAACCTCACTCGCTGCTTTGGGGCCCCGACACAACGGGCGCACACAGGACGGGGTGGGGGCAAAAAGCAACCGTTTGGCCTCCTCCATCATTCGTCTCGGAGAGCGCCCCTGTCCCCAGTGATTAGGAGAGAACCCAAGGCGAGCAGAACGCGGAGAGGAGGGGGGGAAAAAACGAAAAGCGAAACAGAAAAGCAAACGCGCGCGGGAAACGAGAACAAATAAATTTTTGTTCTCGCAGCAGATCGCTCGCTCGCCGAACGCCAAAAATTGCGCGCGAAACCCAGTACGGAATCTAATCAGAGCAAGGAAAAGGAAGAGGATGGAGGGGAGGGAAGAGAGGGGTGGAGGGCGAGAGGGGGCCAAGCCTTCCGCATGAGATTAATTTTTGAGCGGCGCCGCGCGCGTGCCTGACCCCGATTGGTTCCAGGCGGCGGTGGCGGCACCAATCAGAACCGAGCTCAAATGCTAATCGAGGAACCCATCATAAAAAGGTTAAATAATACATGGTGGCGGGCGCGCGCCGCGCTCAATAAATTATTTGATTTATTTACGAAAAACAAAATCAACAAACAACAGCAGCAGCAGCAGCAGTAGCAGCGGACCTCGCCTAACTTCCGATAAGGTGGGGAGAGCGAGCGAAGAAACAAACTTCTAGCGACCCCCTCAACAGCAACAGCGGAGGAGCGGGCGCAGGGCGTTACTCGGGAGGAAGGGTTATAAGAACGCAAGGGTCGGGCAAGGGCGAGGGGCGAGGGGCGAGGGCGGATGTGAGACGGAGGGAAGAGAGGAAAGGGAATAAGGGGGAGATGGATAGAACGAAAATCTAGGAGCCCGGGCTGCTGCAGCAAGATATGAAAAATAAATTGTGCGTATAGGCAGAATTCCGCATGACGCTTTCTTGAATAAGAAGCTGTTCAAAAGGGTCCCACCCGGCCGGGCGAGGAGGGCACAGCAAGCCGCGAAGGGTCGGGATTGACGCACGCACACACAAACACGCACAGTCCTCCTACGCCTCGTTTCAGCACCGCCAGCTTCCGCCCAGCCCCTTCAAACGCATGGCCCAGCCCCAGCATAGCCCTGCGGACGGCGGCCGTCAACAGAGCCGAGGAGGGCCCGCCCTATGGGCCCGCCGCCCGCAGGCAGCAGCGCCGCGGCCCCGGGGCCTCCTCTCCGAATAATCCGATCGCACGGCGCCATATTGTGCGGGGGTGGCGCCCCGGCCGCCCTCCCCGCCCCGCCATGTGTGAAGGGAAGCGCAGAGGGTGGGTCAGTCAGTCAGAGAGTCACAGAGTCGCTGTGGCGAGCCAGAGAGGCTCGGCCAGAGGGCCAGTCATGGACACTTCTCGGTCCGTTTGGTCCCCTGAGGGGTCGTATTTTATTTTAATACTCAGAGCGTAATTTTCTTTTCATCGGA